TCCCTGCCTCAACCCTCCTGCTCTGTCCAAACCCCTCCACCTTGCCTCATCACCCAGCCCAGCCCTCATGTTCCTCTGCCTCACTTTCCATGGGCTCCTACAGAAAAGCACTCCAGGAGAGGGCACTAGACAGGAGAGGAGGATGGGGCCAGCCTGAGGCCAGTACCTTTCGGCTGACTCACCCACTTCCGTTGGCATCTGAGTCTAGTGCCTAGAGGGGGGTTACGTGGTAGCGTGAGGGAGAAAGCTTCACGCTTCTTTCCCAAGCTTCTTGAGAACGTGCCAAGGCCAGTCGGGGTGAGGCCGAGGAGGGGCCCGTTCCTGCAGGCAGGACCACGGCCCTAAGAGGACTTGGCTCCCCACCTCCCCAGTCTCAGACTAGTCCATCTGGGTGGCCCTGCTCTCAAAGATGGCAGGGTCCTTCAGGGGAGGGGCTGAGGTCTCTAGGAGACAATCTTTTGCTGCTCACAGCCCTTCCAAGGCCCAGGCTGCTGGGGGTTGGGGTGGGTCTCACTGGGATCTGGGCCCTCCTCTGACACTTCTCTTCCCCCTTTTCTCACACATCCTCCTCGAGGCAGCAAGGAGGATAGGGATCGCTGAGTGACATTCTTGCCTAGCTGCAGTGCGGGAATGGCCCCTCATGGTGCTGAGAATTCTCCATCGGCTAGGGTAGGAGATGCCGGGATGGGCAGATGGAGAGACCAGGGGTGCTGGGCACTGATTCTGGGGATGGGTTGAAGCTACAGGACCACAGATTCTAAAGGACAGAAGTGATGCTGGAAGCAGGATCAGATTGAGGTCAAGGACCTTCTGACTTGAGCTCAACGGGGAGGAATGGGGACCTTAGTTCTCATGGGGCTGGGCCTCTGTGGGTCTCCATCCATCTGACACTGAGACGAGGGAGGGGAATGAGTCTAGCAGGCCCTCCTCAACTCTCCCCATGCCATGGGACCCAGGGGATGGGCTGCAGGTCGTCCCTCCTTTGAGCCAGGTGGCAGAGGGCAGGAGATGGGACTGGGGCATTGATACCACGTGCTCCTAACCATTGTTTACATAACCTGCAGGATGAGCCCCAAACTGTCAGAGCGTTGCTCTCCTAATGAGACATTAACAGGTAATTAGGCGCAGTGGTTCCTCCCCGTCCCCCCGCCCCCCGCCGTGACTCACAGAAGACTGACGCTTAAGTCAGCCATGCACCCATGCTTTCTTTGCCTCACTCTGACAGCGCCTCAGCCGGACCTGGCCTCTCAGGCGTCTGTTCATTCTGCAAACATCCAGGGGTGCCTGCTGTGCGCCACGCACTGTTCTAGGCACCACGGATGCAGCGATGAGCAAGCCAGACCCAAATCCCTGCCTTCAAGGAACTTAAATTCTGCTGGACGGAGACAAACAATAAACCAGAAAAATAGGTAGTACATCAGAGGATGAGACGTGCTATGGAGAAACGGGGGTGTAGGGAGCAACGTGTGTGCGTGCCTGCATGTGCGCGTGTACACACTCAGCACAGGAGATTGCAAATAAAGCAAACACTTGAAGGAGGGGAGAGAGGGAGCTGTGAGCAGATGGGGAGGAACAGACAGAGGCAACCTCGGGTGCAGGGGCCCCGGGCTGGGAGTGAGCCTGCCGTCCTCAGGAGCAGCAAGGATGCCAGCGTGGCTGCCGCAGAGTGGGCGACGGGAGGCCGTGAGGTCAGGGAGGGGCTGCAGGCAGTGGAGAGCGATTGCTGGAGGCCGAGCGGAGGAATGACCTGACCTCATCAATGTTTAGCAGGATCCCTCTAGCTGCTGTGGTGTGGGACACAGACTGTCGGGGCAGCACCCGTGGGAGGCCATTTCAAGAATCCAGGTGGAAGGTGATGGCGACATGGACCAGGAAGTAGCCGTGAAGGTGGAGAGAAGCAATCAGATTCTAGATAGAAGGTGAGGCCAACCGGATTTGCTGCTGGGCCAGTTGTGGGGCGTGGGGAGAGTGAGGAGTCGAGGTGTCATCAAGGCATTTGGCCTGAGTGACTGAAAGGATGGAGCTGCCACTTACAGCAACAAGGAAGGCTGTGGGAGGAGCAGGGGTTCAGGGGAAGAGCAGGAGCTCAACTCTGTGCACATTAAATTTGAGGTGCCCATTAGATTTCCAAGTGTGGACACGGAGTAGGCAATTGGCAAGTCTAGTGTGGGATTCCCGGCTAGCGATGTAAAATGTAGGGTCATCATCATAAAAGATGGTATTCAAAGTCTTGAGACAGTCTGAGATCCCCTAGGGAGTGAGTGTGCACGGTCCATGGCCCAGAGCCCTCCAGTGCGACCCGGGAAGCAGGAGGAAAACCAGGAGAGCTGATGCCTAGATACCAAATGAAGAAGATGCTTCTAGGGGGAGGGAATGAGCAATTGTATCAAATGCTGCTGAGAGTCGAGCAAGATAAGGACTGAGAAATGACAGCTGGATTCAGTCACAGGGAGGCCATTGTGGACCTCGGAGAGAGCGTTTTTAAGAGGGTAAGAGAGAATGGGAGAAGGACTGAGTAGGAAGAAGGGAGGAAGGGAGGAGAGGAATTGGAGAGAGTGTAGATTCCATTTTAAGGAGCTTTGCTCTAATTAGGGGGGCTAGAGGGAGATATGGGTTAAGAGTGTTTTGTGTGTTGTTGGTTTTTCAGTTGGGAGAAATTACAGCCTGTTTCTACGCAGATGGAAATAATCCAGTAGCGAGGGCAACACTGATGGTGCGAGAGAGGGAGGGGGAACATTGCTGGAGAGATCACCCCAGCCTCTCCCCACTTCAAGCCAATAGAAGTTGTCCTCTTTGAGAGGGACAATGGGGGTTCTGGCAATGGCACCAGGCTGGGCACAGGACACCTGGGTCCTGTCCTAAATCGGCCCCTTCCTGGAGGTGGGACCCTGTGCCAGCCCCTTAACACCCGGGACTTCGGATGTGGAAAGCGGGTCTTCACATGTAGAAAGCAGGTCTAACAGCAGCACTACCTCCCTCCCTGGGTTGTGATGGAGATCCAGTGAGGTAATAGGTGTGAAAGTGCTTTGTAAAATGTAAAGGGTGGAACAGATGGTTGGGATTATTTTTATTATTCTAATAATGCAAGGGGTTATTAAACGAATTTAAAGGATTACTGTTCATCCAACCCAACTTGTACACACAGCCTCCCCGCATAGCTGACACACGTGCTGTGTCCTGATCAGCGCAAAGCCAAGTAAACTCCCTGACCCTCCATCAGCGCTCGCCCTCCTCCCACTCTGCCCGGCACGGACCCCTCTTCTTCCATGTGTCCCTGGCAAACGCTGTCCTCTGAGGCCTCCCCAGTCTCCCTCCCCTCAGTCTGACCCTCCTTCCTTTCCTCCTAGCCGACACCCCCCCCCACCCCAACCTTTTCATCAAACTTTGTCTTTAGCAGGTACTGTGTGCAGGAAAGAGTGCTGACCAGGAGCCAGAGAAGTTAGTGCCGCAGGATGACCAACCATCCTGGTTCGCCCAACCTTGGAGTTCCTAGGGGGTTCCCCCAAGAAGTGAGCCTTCCAGTGCTAAAACTGGGAAAGTTCTGGGTAAACTGGGATAAGTTGGTCACCCTAGTCTTGACCAAGGCCAATCACACTTAGTTGATTTACCATTATCTTGCAGGGAAACCTTAGAAAAATCACTTAACTTCTTTGGGGTTAAGTTTTCTCATCTCTAAAATGAGAGGCTTGAAGTTTCACTAGACCCCTTTTTCAGTCCTGTCCAGCCCTCAGCTTCTGAGCCTGGGGGCCATTTACTCCATAGGTATTTACTGAGTGCCACTATGTGCCATGCACTGTGCCCTTCCTGCTGACTGTGGCATCCTGGGCACATAGCACACACCTGACACTTTGTAGGTGCTCAATAAAGACCTGTGGAAATGAATGAATGAATCTGCCACACCTCCATTCCTGGCTCGATCCCTATCCACACCCCCAAAGTCTCTGCTCATAGTTCTGACCCCCTATTTTCCCCCCATCTCTGCTCCCCCACTCTGTCAGCCATAAGCCTCTGGACCCTGTGATTAAGCCCAGAACTCTGACCAGACTGAGTTGAGCTGAAAACACCAGTGAGGGACAGGAGAGTCTGGTCACTGCTCCCACTGGCAGTGGATGTTTACCTTGGATGCCATCCCACCGCATAAGAAGATGTCACCAACACAGGCTTGCCCTGGTGCGCCATCGCATTCAGGTGCTGGGAGCCCACTAAGCAAAGGACCTGTGTTGGGCTGCTCTAGGCAGACATCTGCCCCTGGTCACCTGCATCTCCTGGGCATCTGCCTCCAGCCACCCCACTCCCTTCCCCACCTAGCCTCAGACCCTGAGTGGGGCTCTGGAGCCATCTGTGCGGATCCGCAGTCTAACCCTCCACTTCCAGGAGGCTGTCTGCTGTCTGCAAGTCATTTAAAGCCTCTGAGCTTCAGGCCCCTCATCTTAATCTGAGAACAGCAGAACCTAGTTTATAGAGTTATGGTGAGGATTCAGTACGTGTGCAGAGCTTGCTGTGGGAGAAGCAAGTGCTCAAAAAATACCAGCTATCATTGTTATCATAACCATAATCATCAGCATTAACACTCTCAGTCTGGTGAGGACGGCCAAGGACAAGCTCAATCTAAGTGCATCTGTCACAGGGTACCTGGAATCTCCCTTCCTCCAAGAAGCCTTCCCAGATTACTCCCAGCAGAGCAAGGACTAACTTAGTCCAGGCGGCTGGGACACCCTCACTCTCCCACCCCAACAAGCAGCACTGAACCTCCCCAGGAGTCAGGGGTACCTCTTCCCAGCTCTGTCTAAAGCGTCAATCCTGTTGTTACGACCTTCCTTGCCCCTCTGCCCAGGTCAGCTGGTCTGTCTTAGAGACCTGACAGCACTGAGCCCCTCTGCGCCCACTGGTACTTCACAAGGGTTCAGAGAAGAGGACTATGAGGAAGATGGGGATGGTGGAGGGACCTGAGGAGATGCTGGGAGGCTGAGAAGGCAGGGCCCCCGGGAGGCCACACTCACCAACGTAAACACGCCTGCTCCCAGCACGGCATACACTGCATGGAGCCAGGGCACCTGCAGGGCAGACAAAAAGTGGGTTCAAGGATGGCGAGATGGGCAGTGCGGCAGAGGGGCAGGGAGAAGGGATCAGTCCAGGAATGGAGGGTGTGGCACAGATGTCCCCAGTGGGGGCCCTCTCTCACCCCCCCAACCCTGCCCCAGACTGAGAGGTCCTTAATCCCCTGCGTGCTCACGGTGGGTGGGGGAGCCCCAGGGTAACAGTGATCCTGGAGGGCTGGCAGGCGAGGTCCAGACGGGCCAGCACTTCTTTCCTCCACACACAGCCCCAGGCTCAGGCTGGCCCAGGGTGACTCATCCTATGGGGTCCCTGCCATCCTCCCAGCCTGGGTCTGGCCTGAGGCTGTGCCCTTCTCCCAGTGCAGACTCATCCCTGTGCCGTCTGTCCCCATGTCGGGAGCTTCCTGGCTCTGCCTGTGTGGGTAAAGGGGCTCAGGTAGAAGGGGACAAAGACTTAGGCCCAGGGGTTGGGGGGGCATCTGGCATCCCTGCCAGCTGTGCTTGCTGGGATCCCCTGCAGAGGCTGGAACAGCACCCCTTCCCAACCTCTGCTCCCCCCGGGCCTCAGGGGCACCCAGCTGAGTGCGGAAACCTTGCAAGAGGTGCCAAACAAGCCGTGCCCTCTGAAGAGCCTTCCCCCAGAAGACTCCTGGCAACACAGGCATTCCATCAGCCTGACCCGGGTCGATAAAGGGTTCTTGGAAGCTCTGGGGCCCCTTCCTGTACCCCTCCCCCCATCCTAGATACACAGAGGGCCCCCAGGCCAGCTCCGGCTCCTCCCTTCGTCAACAGGATCCTGGGAAGAGCCAAGGAAATGCCAGAACCAATCCTGACGTTCTGGACTGGGAGGCAATAACCTGGGGCTGGGCAGGATGGGGTAGGGACGGGGAGTGAGGAATACTGCTCTCAGCCTGGCAGCAAAGGGGCAGTGGGGGACCCCGTACTAGAGGTAGCTAAGAGGAGGTAGCGGCAGGTACAAGCCCTGAGCCCTCAGCACGGGTCCAACAGCTGCTCTCTTGGGTTCCCAGGGTTCAAACCCCCTCCTGTGATGCCCTAAGTCCGCCCCTTCTCCACCTGCATCAGCCTGAGTTCCTGGAATGGGTCACTGAGCCCTGAGCAGTCTTAGTGGGATTTCCCAGGCAGGCCGGACACTTCTTAAAGAGCTGAGATTCAGCTGTCGCCATGGACACCCTCATGGGGCAGGGGTATGCTCGGAGCCCCACTGTCCCATTTCCCGCCTGCCTGGACAGCCAAATCCTGCCTCTCTGCACTTGACTGATCCCCCAAGAGGCCCAGGAAGCCCTTCCTCAGGGCCCCTCTGGGCCTGGTGGCCCCATGGAGCTCCGGAGCCCCCTCCCCGGCCTAGGGTTTAAATGATCTGAGCCCTCCCCCTCAGCCTCACCTCCCCCCTAGTGGAGAAGATGGGAAAGGTGAAGCGGATGTGGCTTGTGGAGTGGGCAGGCGCCCAGACCTGTCAAGAAAAGCGTCGCTTCGTTGTTTGCTTACACTGCCAAGCAGCCCGGGGCAGGACAGGATGGCAGGCTGTGAGCCCTTGGCTCGCGGCCTTCCCTGGAGGGTGTAGGAGGAAACGGCACCCTCGGGCCGGCAGTCCCACCCCCGCCATCCCCATGGGGCCGGCTGGGAGACCTGGAGACTCACATATTGGAAGGGCAGGAGGATGGCCAGGATGAGTCCACTGAAGAAGAGAGTCATGAGCAGCACGAAGAGCACACCTTGGCAGGACGTGAAGTCAAACTGCAGGGGTAGGACGGGCGTCAGCTGCCGGGGCCCTCAGGCCTGCACAGAGCGGCCCGGCATTCCTGGGGGCCCCGGCTGGGCAGTGTGCTGGCCAGAAGGCTGAGGCCGAGGCAGCAGGCCACCTTCCCGTGCTCACCCCAGAACCCGCTGTTCCTCCCCCTCCCATCCCAGGCGGCCTCCCCAGACACTACGCATGCCTTTTACCTCCCCCAGCTGGGGAATCCAAGCTTGCAGCCCACCGCCCCCGCCCCCCACCAACCTTCCCCAGCCCGAAGGCCCCAGGGCTGACCTTGGTCTGGAAGCTAAAGACGGTGACCGAGAGGCAGACGAGGGCCGTGATGCCCAGGCACAGCAGCACAGATGTGGTGTTGTAGTAGCTGCAGGATGGGCAGGCCAGGGGGTTGGCTTCAGGGCAGGGCTTCTGGTCTCCCCTTGCCCTCCTCCCAGGTCCTCCCCTTCTGCCAGGACCTGATCCCCCGACCTCTGGCTCCCAGCCTCTCCCCTTTCCCAGGATCCCCCTTCTCTCTGCCTCCTCATTCTTTCTACGGGGACCCACCCTCCCCAACATGCTCACACTCAGAATCCTGTTAGAAGGCTCTCGAAGAGGTGGGAATGGGGGTGGGGAGGAGTTGTGCTGGTGCCTGGAGGTGGCTTATAGGGAACTGTGTGATCATGAACCTGGGGTCTTTTCAGCTGCAGCTTGAGAGGTGTCACCTTGCTCTCCTCTGTCTCCCACCCCCACCCACCAGCCTGGCCAGGTCCTGGAGGCCGAGTGTGGGAGGAGCGCGCTCCAAGCCCACGTCTGCTGCCTGCCTGAACGCCCCCCGCCAACCCCGTCCAAACGCTCCCTGGAAGGACTGTGCTTGGGGCAGCTCCCCTCAGGATGTGGCCAGCCCCCTTCCGCCTGGCCCCTTTACCTGGACAACATCCCAGTGAGGTAGGCCATGGACAGGGTCTGAAAGGAGAAGCAGGATGAGGGAGTGCTGGGGGCCCAGACACCTTCAAGGGCCAGCCTGGGTCTCCACCCCTTGTGTGTACCCCTCAACTCTGAGTCTGCTTTGCTCACACACACATTTACCTCCAGGATTTCTCCCGGTGAAGGAGGTCCCAGCCGTCCCTTTTTTTTTCTGCAGGCCTGCTCGTCCCCCTTTCTAAGATTCACACCCTCCCCCCACCCCCAGCTCTTGTTATCCATAGCTCTAGGAGTCCCCATACAAACCTCTTAAAAACAAAATCACAATGGAAAGAGGGAGTGGATGGAGTGGGGAGAGAAAGGCTATTTGGAAAGAGAGGGTGGGGTGTCTTTGCAGAAGAAGTGGGGCGAAAATACCCCTGCCATCCCCAGTGACCTCACATCAGCTACCTCCAACTCCTAGCCCTCGAAGCTCACCCTTCAGCTCTCCTCCCCCCATCCCCACTCAGCATCTGTCCCCACATCACTTACAAAGATGGTCAGGAGGATCAGGTTCCAGGGGAAATGCCTCCTGTAAGGCAAGCCACGGAGTTCAGAGGAGAGAGGGGGCGTGCCTGCAGCACAGGCTGGGTCATGCTGTCCGAGGGCTCCCCCACAAACTCACCCCCACGCCTCGGAGCTTCTTCCTTCAGCCACATCCCCATGTGCCCCCATCTGTGCCTTCACCCTCCCCCCGCCCCGAGGCGCCAAGTAAAGGAGGGAGGGGCAGGCCTTGATGGAGCCCAGAGAAGGATGGGGCCGTCTCAGGGGTGCACTGGCGGCAAGCAGGACTGGGGCCAGGACTTCCAAGGTCCTGCTCACGTTTCCACAGCCATGCTGCTCCTCAAGCCGTCATCATACCTTGGTCCAGAACAGCAGGCCAGGGTCAGGTAGGTCGCGAAGAAGACGGCGCTGTGAGAGACAGACGGATGCGAGAGCTGGCCGCCCCTGAAGGCCCTCCACCCAGGCCCCTGCTCGTCCCACTCTCTGCCACCCCTGCCCACAGGGCACCAAGCAGGCTGCCAGGGGCAGGGGTTGGTTAAGCGCACGATCATCTCAGAACCTTGCAATGGGCAGGGTGATGGTGTAATTCCAAAAGAAAGGAAGGGGAGTAAGATGAGCCTGCTTCTAGAAATACTGAATCTTGGGTGCCATGTGGTAGCTGACCACCCAGTGCAAAGTGGTTCCCCCCAGACAATATCTTATTACTTATATATATTTTGAAAAGCTCATATACAGTGTTCTCCATATGCCAGGCAGAGGGCTACATGCTTTATGAGGATTAGCTAATATAACCCTCCTATCTTCTCTAGGAAGCACGTTCTTCACTTTATAACCGAGGCACAGTGAGGCCAGGTGAGCTGTCCAAGGTCACACAGCTACCACATGGCAGAGGCAGGGTTAGAACACAGGCTTTCTCCTCCAGAGTCCTAGCCTATAACCACTACCCCATACTGCCTCCTTTAGGCCTTTCCCTGGCCCTGTCACTACCTACAATGATCTTGTCTGTCCTGCCAGCACCTGGCACAGCAAGAAGTACCTGTGGCATGAATTTCTGGATCAGGTGGCCGTATCCATTGGGAAGCTCAGGTGGAACCCAGAGACAGGGGTCGAGGATTAAGGATTTTCTGGAAAGCAGTGGAAGTGGAGGCCAGTCCAGGAGGTGGGACATGAGGGCTGAAGACCCAAGGCTGGGGCATGCTCATGTCTACCTAGATTGGTGCCTACACCAATGCATGGTCTCCAGCTCTCAGTGTGCCCTCAACACACGGCACCTGTCATCCTTCCCATCTCCCTCCTCGGTTCTCTCACGCATCCCCTACAGCAACAATGCCAACCATCCTCCTTCATCTGCAAACCTCCCAGGCTGCCTCACTCTCCTGCCTGGTCTGGCCTGATGTGTCCCAGAAAGATTCGAGATGAGTTGGGGGGGCTCCACTGGCTCCCTGCCTGCCGCCTGCAAACGCGTCATGCATCTATGTGTCCTTCCTCCTGTCCCTCCTCCCATCCCAGGTGAATCCCCCCAAGCCTCTGGGTCCCACGCCCTCAACTGCCCTGCCATCGACTGCTACATCTTCTCCCTCACAAACCTCCTCAGCTGTTCTCCATCTTTAACCAACATCTTTCCTGGCTCCAGCTACTGCCACTTTATCCACCCTCACAGCCAAGCTTCTTCAGAAAGTTGTCTCCACTCACGGCACCTTCTCCAACTCACAATCACTCCTCAACTTAACAAACCAGCCCCTGTCCCACTTAATGAGAGCTGGCTTTGCCACATCACTATGACTTTGTTGAGTCCAACTGACACTTGTCCATCCTTATCTGACCTGGACATGCTGACATCTGATCTCTCTCGTTGTTTCCCTGGTCCCACAATGACACAGCCTTGGGTCCCCTCCTGCCTCCCTGGTCACTCCTCCTCCATCTCCTTCAGCACAGGGTCTCCCTTCACGATCCTCTTGGGTGGGCTCACTCATTCCTAGGACTCCCTTTATCAGGCAGATGCTTATGACTCACACACCATATTTCTGATCTAGAATTTCCTTCTCAACCTCAGACCTGAATAACCAACTGCCTACTGGGCAAACACGGCTGTTATGCAGCAGGTTAGAGCCGAACCTGCCCTCTTCCTTGCTCCTTCTCCTGCATCCCCTGTTGCAGAGGATGTCATGCAGCCTCCGAGTCACCCAACCAGCGACCTCGGTCAGCCTTGCCTCTCACCCTGCCATGCCCAGCTAATCACTTGGACCTGCTGATCCTCTACCCAGGCAGTTCTCAAATCTGTCCCCTTCTCTCCATCCCCACGACCACCCTTTTAGGTCGGGTCATCTCTGTCTATCCGGTCCTTCTGCCTCCAGTCCTGCCTTCCACTCTCCAAGCTATAGGCAGATCCCATCATGTGACTCTCCTGTTTAAAATTCCAAAGACCTGGTGATGCACTGCCTAATCCGCCCCCCGGCCTACCTCTGCAGCCCACCCCGCACCGCACTCCGCCCCTCCATCTACCCTCATGGCCCTCTGCACCCTCACAGCGTGCCCACCACTCTCTGCCCCTACTGGAAAGGACCGACTGGCGAGGATGCCTGGGGCTGAGGTTGGAGGGGCTTCCTCTGTGCACCACGGGCATAACTCAACCAAAGCCTGCACCCCACACCCCACGGGTCTGCTCATCTGATCCCCACCCAGATGGAGCACCTGGAACAACCTATTGTCCAACCCAGGGCCTGGCACGGCTTAGGCAATCTTTAAGCACTTCTGGGTGAAACGTGAAAGCACAGGGAATGTAGGGGTTGAGACGAGCCTATTGCATTTGGTAAACAGGAGCCCTCCATCTTCACCCTCTCCTATTCTTCAGTGGTTCTCAAATGATGCATCACTGCTGTCACAGGGATGGAGGGGTTCTCAGTGCCAGGACCAGGGCTGCAGGCCATCCTGTTCCGTGAGGAACAGTGGAGTCGTCCTGCCCCAGTTGTTAAGAAATACCCCAGCATCTGCTCTCTTTCGGTCTCCCTTGAGTCACCAGTCACTTCGACAACAATAATAATAATAATACCCTTGTCTATGTGTATCCTGGTTGTGGGGCCTGTCTCCCTGGCCAGACTGGAAGCTTCCTGAGGGCAGGGCCCAGCCTCCTTTTCTCTCTGGTCCAGAGCTCCTCAACCCTCAAGACGAGTGGTCGGGAGGAAGGGCAGAGGGACGGACGACCTGGAGCGTATGGGGCAGTTTGGGAGCCTGACCCTCATTTCACATCCCAGCTCTGCCACCACCATCGTGTGACCTTGAACAGCTACTTAATTGCAGAGCTCCAGCCTCCTGCTTTGTAAAACGGGAATGCTGGTACCAACTCACAGGGCTGTAGCGAGGACTGAATGAGAGCATGCAGTCCAGCCTTGAGCACAGAGCCTGGCACTGGGTAGGGACCTGAAGATGGGAGTTGTTATTATTATAACTAGGACCTGGCTAACTGACAGCTTCCTGGAGAGGCTCGGACCCACCTCCCCCAAGTCTGGTCTCACACTTTTCCTCCTCTGTCCGGTCTCCCCACCTCCACCCCACAGCCCTCACTCCTCCCCTGCACGGTAGGGAAGCCCGCATTTCCCTGCTGCCAAGGCTCAGAGGGAGCAATCAGACAATAAGGCGAGAGCCCACTGAGGGAGATGATTGGGGCCTGGAGAAAGAGTGGGCGGGGGGAGGGGGTGGTGCTGGAAGGCTGCCATCCCAGGGAGCGAAGAATAAATCACAGAAGAAGTGAAAGACAGACTTGCTTGTCAGAGCCTGGGCCTCAGGGCCTGAGCTAGAGCCGTGGTCTGTTTACAGAATGTCAAGACCAAGGCACGAGGCTCAGGTGGAGGCCAGGGTCCAAACCCAGTGTCCTCCCCCAACTTATGATGCTCCAGGACCAGTCCCAGGCTGTGGGGAGGCAGCAGAGCATGGAGGGGAAGTGCATGAGCTTCTCAATCAGAAAGACAGGGTTCAATCCTGGCTCTGCTGCTTAGGAAGCAACATCTTCTCTCTGAGCCTCAATTTTCTCATGTATAAAATGGGGATAATAGGGCTTCCCTGGTGGCGCAGTGGTTGAGAATCTGCCTGCTAATGCAAGGGACACGGGTTCGAGTCCTGGTCTGGGGGGAACCCACATGTCGCGGAGCAACTAGGCCCGTGAGCCACAACTACTGAGCCTGCGCGTCTGGAGCCTGTGCTCTGCAACAAGAGAGGCCGCGATAGTGAGAGGCCCGCACACCGGGATGAAGAGTGGCGCCCGCTTGCCACAACTAGAGAAAGCCCTCGCACAGAAACGAAGACCCAACACAGCAAAAATAAAATAAATTAATTAATAAACTCCTACCCCCAACGTCTTCTTTAAAAAAAAAAATGGGGATAATAACTGTATCTGCCTCGTAGGGCTGTTGTTAAGGATCAAATGAAGAGTATCTGCAAATCACATGGCACAGTGCTACATACATAGAAAAAGACCTGTTTTATTCTTACTGCTATTAAGGGCTTGGTGTTTGGAGGACGTGAGACCCACTAGGTGTCAGACCTGCTAGGTCTCAGACCCAGAGGCAGACTCAGGACTGGATAGCGATGTGGGGAGGGGGCAGGATGGGGCAGAGCAACAGGCTGGCTTTCTAGAGAACAGGGCAGCATCTTGGTGGTGAATTCCCAAGCACCTTTAAGGCTTGGCGACGCTCCATGGAAAGCACACGGTCCATGCCCACTTCCGACTTCTCTCCACACCCACCCACCCCTGAGTCTGGGACAGCATCTGTTTTCTGCTTGGAGATGCTGAGGAGGAAGGACCTCTCACCATTCAGAGGTCAAATTCTCACACCATTCTCAGTGGGGTGGACTCTGCCCTCAATTCTAGAGCCTGCTTATTCTTGGACTGTCCCCCTGCCACCATCTGCTTAGGGCACAGAGTCCCAAAGACCCTCCCGCACGAGGCCTGACGAGGGGCCTGGGGACCGCATTCCTGAGGTGGCAGGGCGCAGAGGCTGCCAGGCGGTGCTGATGTGCCGGGAGCCATGCCAACCCGCCACGGGGGCTGGCCGGGGTGGCAGTCCCTGGGGCCTCATCAGTTTTAGCCTACAGTGCCCCCCATCCCCCCAAATGCCCGCCTCCCTGCCTGGTCTGCAGACAGGCCCTCTGTCCTGTGCCCTAAGAAAGGCTCTGGGTGTGAATGTCTCCTCCCCTGGGATCCCCAACTTGGCTGAGCTCCTCCTCCACTCCTCCAGGGAGTCCCAGAGGCCAGGATGTCTCCTTCCTGTCGGGCTTTGGCTGGCTTTTGTTAACTTGAGGCCCACTCTGGGACTGTTCGGGGCTCGGGTGGTCCAGGAGGCTCTGGGCTGAGCCTACGTTCCCACCAGACCCCCATCCAGGAACAGGCCTGGGACAGCTGTAGTGTGCAAGCTCCTTGGGTGGACATTCAGAGCCTCCACCCCGGAAGGCCTTGCTTCTCTCTGGGATGTCCCGATTCCCCTCACGGAGCCTTGCGGTGCTCCGCCAGCCTGGTCCCTAATTTACCCAATGTACCACGTGCGCTCCCACTCCCAAGCGTTTACTTAAGTCACCCCAGTCCCCAGGCCCCTTGGCTCATCCTTTGAGGCGCACCCGCTGACATGGACTGAGGGCTCCCCCTCCTCTGAATGCTGCTCTTTCACAGGCTGCCTTGTATGCCCGCCACCTTCCCCTGCAGAGGCCTCCTCTCCACCAGCTCCAGTTCTGGCCTCGGCTCACAGTAGGTGCTGAAGGAGACTTTGCTGACAGTAGTTCTGCTTTAAACAGGGTGGTCTGGCCTGGAAGTATCCAGAATGACTCCTTAATTGCCCACATATGAGGGTCAGAATAACCTCTCAAGTCACCTGCCATGCTCCTTAAAGAGTAGAGTATATAAGCAGAAGCCAACTGCTCGAGGGGAAGGGAGTCTGCCAAGTAGAGGGGTTAAGAGTACAAGCCTCAACCTGAAGCTTGGGTTTGAATCCCAGCTCTACCACGGCCTACCTGTGTGACCTTGGGCAAATTACTCAACCTCTCTGAGACTTAGTTTTCTGAGGAGTGAAAACTAATCAAGCACTGCATATCAAGCACGTAGAACGATGCCCAGCCCTTATTGGGCACTGTATAAGTGGTATCTCTTATGATTAATAATTCACAAGCATTAATAACAACTATGTTAATATTGAGTAGCAACATTATCATTAGTGTGGGCCAAGGTGTCCCAGCCCCCCTTCTCCTCCAGGCCAAGGTCTGGGTCTCCCTAGCCATGACCCCAGTTCCACCCTTCCCTCCTTGGGCAGGCACCAGAACCAACGCCCATCTCCTCCCCTCCCCCTCAGCTCTACACACCCCAGAAGGCCCCTTCTGGCCATGCTCTTATGAGGCAGTTCCTATGGGATGGGGAGAGGTCATGGGCTGGGATTCTGTCAGTGGAGATTTCCCACCTTGGCTGTGGAGGGTGTTCTGGGAAGGGGCCTGGGTATACTTACTAGGATGCCCAGTACCAGCCTGGGTTGGCCTGGACATAGTCCTTAACGGGGTCACTGCAGAGAAGGGAGGGAGAGAGAATCAGAATTTACCCTCTGTCTCCATTTCTAGTTCAACATCTGCCCCTGCCCCCGCCCCCCCCCCCCCTCCAAGAGGAAGAAAGGAGAGACCACACCCCTGGTGGGGGAGGGAGCTCCAGCCACAGTCTTCCAGTCTCAGGCTGAGACTTGGGTGCGCCCAGGTGTAGGGCTGCTGCATCTGAGAGGAACGACTGCTTCACAGACACCTGCAGGCCCAGAGAGCACGGGGCCACCCCCAGCTGGACGGAGGACCCCTCCCTGTGCACGGTCTAAGGTTCTTCCCAGCATGAGGTGGGCCGCTGCCCTGCACCAGCATCTTCAGGCAGACGGTTCTAAGAACAGTCTGACTCTGGACCCTCCTCCCCAGGCCGAGACCTGGCGCCACCACCCGTGGAACGTGCTGCTCCACACAGCCAACTCACCAGAAGGTAAAGAGAGCCACGACACCCAAGGTCACCAGCAGCTGGATCAGCAGAATGGTATAGACCTGGGGGTGGGAGGGGGTTCCGCTCAGCTTGGGGGGCCCTGTTGGGGGCCAGAGAGGCTCAGGGCCCCAGCAAGGCTTAGGGAGACCCCAACTTCCTGGCGACTCCATCTACCCTCCAGACCCGCATCCTGGGCCTTCCACCCTCCTTCTTAGGGGGCATCGGAATGAATCCAGGACAAGGCGAAAGGACAGCAAAGACGCTCCAGAGCCCACACCCATGGCATCTGGAGAGAAGAGACCACGTGTTCAGCCGCAGCAGGGGGCAGTGGGCACCCCAACTTCCCAGTAGGTGCCGTCAGTTGGCATCACAAGGATGGGGAGAGGGATGGCCTCTGGGCAGGAGACTGGGCCAGCGGCTTCTCGAGGGGCTCCCCCCACCCAGCTTCCCAGTCTGGGAGAGTTGGGGGAGGCAATTACCTTTCTGATGAAGACTCTGCGAACGTTCTGGTCGTCCCAACTGAAGGTGGTGAAGAGCTCGTGGTCGCCAGTGGGGAAACCACTCTCATAGCTAGAGCTGCTGCCTGGATGGGCAGGGGGAGGGCCGTGAGCGCTCCCACACACATAAACACCACCCCCAACGGCTCAGAGCTACCTTTTGTCAGACTGGCTTTCTGGACCAGGCAACGCCCTTCTCTCCAGCCCCATTCTCAAACCTCCTCCTGCCCCACCCCATCCCATCCCACAGAGATCCCAGATCTCTCCCAGGTTGCCCCTCACCTTTCCTGTTCTGAGTGTGAGAAGGAACTGTCATCTCCCCTTCCCACCCCAAGCGGGAGCTCCCTGGGGCCCAAGCTCTGCCATACAAATGTGGCCCTTCCCTCTTGTGCCCCCCATCCCCCTTCCTGGACAGTCTGGCTCCCTTGTGGCTGAGAATCAGAGAAGGACAGCCACTCCCCCGGGGCTACCTCACACATCCCAGAGTCAAAGGTCCTACCCTGGCTTGCTCTGAGGTCCCGGGGGTGGGAACTGGGGACTCGTAGGTGGAGTGGACCAGCTGGTGCTCCAGCTGGGAACCGGAGCTGGGGGAGGCTGGAGGGGAAACAAAGCCAGGACAAGGGCAAGAAGTGGCACGTGGGTGTGGGTGAAGTTTGGGGGCCTGGTCCCAGAACTCAGGCTTTTGGAAGAGCATGGGCTCTGTAAGCAAACACGTGGATCCCTCGCCAGGACTGACTAGCTGTGCGGCCTTAAGCAGGTCACCAGCCTTCTTTGTCTCTTCCGGGATATGGGTTAGTGATACCCACCTCACGGGGATGAAACGGAGAAAAGTGAAAGCTCTGTGCCTGACGCTGACGACACCACCCTCTCTCTTCCATCCCTCGTCTGGGTCATTCCTAAGGCCTCAGATGTGTCCGCTCTGCTCTCCACCATCCCTGCAAGTTCTCCATGACCTTCCCCTCCACAGCAAGAGCCTGTCTTGGCCTTTCAAATCTGCCCTCGGCACTGTCCCGCTTTAAATTCTTTGATGGCTCCTCACTGCCTTTTACTCAAGTTCAAGTTCCTTAACAAAGCCTCCTCAGCCTCCCACGAGTCCTCCAGCCCCACTGCACACTACTCCCTTCTACTTTTCTCCAGCCTGACTATATTTTTTTCAGCAATGTGCTCTCTTGCCTCTGGGCCCCTGCACATTCTTTCTTTCAGCCTTGGACACTCATTTTCCTACCTCTTCACCAAGCTAATACATGCCATCCTTCAGGACTCCCCTCATGGATACCCCTTCCTCCAGGAAGTCTTCCCTGACTGTCAGGCGGGTTAGTTGAACGGCCAAGGCCTCCATCACTGCCTTTCACCATGTGGTAATCATCCATTTACTTGTCTACACTGTCAGCTCTGTGAGGGAAGGGCTTGCAAATCAATGCATCCCCAGAAATTAGCTCAGTGCCAGACACGGTGCCTGGTGCACGCTTAGTAAATGTTTGTCACGTGCTGACTGAAATGAGCTGCCTTCCTCTGCCCTGACAGTTCGTTGGAAAACATTCCTTAAGGCAGCCAGTCCTGGCAACCAGGATATGGGAAATGAGGAAGGGGGAGGGAGGTGGATCCACTGCCAACCTGGGGCTTGGAGACCCTCAACCTCTTATCCTTCACTCCTTCATGTTCTGTCCACGTCCCCCACCAAAGCCCAAATGGCCAGGCCACAGAGGGGGAGAAAAGGAGAGAAAAAGCAGTCCTGTGGGTGTCAGCGGCAGGAGGAAGGGCTCCCATGAACACCAGACCTTCAAAGGCCCTCCAGTAGATGACGGTGGGGTGGGTCTGCTTGGGTCTGGGCTGAAGGGCTCTGTGGTGGGAGGTGTGGACCATGGTGGCCGCTCCTCCTGAGTAGAGACGGTCTGAGGCATTGTCCCCAGGATCCCTTCTAGAATTCTGCTGGGGGTGGGGGTGGGGTGACAAGGTGGGGGAGGGGGCCGAGGGGGGCGAGGGGGCCGAGGGGGCCGAGGAAGACTTCCTTGCAGCTTGCGGGAGCTGTACATTCCCAGCCCTGAGGCAAAGCTCCCACAGGCTGCCACACCGAACAGAGGGCCCCCTACCAGCCCGATTCTTAGTGTGCAAGGAGCTGGCGTCAGCCCGGGTGGGTCGGCCTAGGAATCGTGCCTGGCCCTGAGGGATGCTAAGGCTGGCATCCACACACCTTCCCCACATCCTGCTCTCCTGCCCCCAGTTAAGGCCTGGGGAAGGGTAGAGAGACAAGGAGAGTGATGAGTGAAGTGGATCCTCAGGCCCCCGCCCTAAACAACCCTGGGGCCTCCACGGGGACTGGTTTCAGATCAGCCAGCGTGTCAGCAAACTGCACCCACACTCACAGGGAGGCAGCCCCAGCTGAGGCCACAGTTAGCTGTAGCCTCGTACTGCTCCTTCCTGTGTCCACTCTGACCTCCCTCACTCCCTCTCTGCAACCCTTTCTTCTAGGACAGCCCCTGGTTTTTCTCCCCCATCTGTCCCCTCTTTTTGCCCTAGCTTGGTGACTTGAAAAAGCCCCTCTTCCCCATCCAAGGGAATTATGACTGCAGAAACTGTATCAGTCCTTCTTCATGGAGGTCTCCTTGACCTACCCTCAGAACAGTCCTCCAAATCCCAAACCTTTGACATCAGAGCCTCATACAACAACCATACAGTGCGTCTATTTCTGGGCAACTTCTTCCTATGCAGGTTTTCCATCTGGGCCCACCACTCCCCCTGATGCTCCAGCCTCCAGGAACTGAGAGACTTACTAGGGTCCACATAGGCCCAGCTGGGGTGGAGAGGCACAGCCGAGGGGGCTGGTGGAAAGACTCCTGCCTTCAGCCCCTCCCCAGAGGTGGCCTCCTCATAGGAGGGCGGGGCCGAAGGCACTGCTGGAGCCTCCTTCTTCTCACCATTCGCCTGCTGCTGCCCCTCTGTCCCGGGGGCCTTGTTAGCCACAGAGAGCTGTGGAGTAGAGGCAGAGAGAGACAGTCACCAGGGAGAGGGTACCTTCTAAGTCCTCTTCCCCAGCCCCTCAATTTCTGGAACTTCCATGGGTACTTTCTCACCTGCACTAGGAACGGCAGTGGTGCAGACAAGAACCTCCCTATTTTATGTGGGGTATATATACGGTGGAATATTATTCAGCCTTAAAAAAGGAGGAATTCCTGTCATTTGCAACAACATGGGTGAACCTGGAGGACATCATGCTAAGTGAAATAAGCCAGACACAGAAAGACAAAAACTGCAGGATCTCACTTATATGTGGAATCTAAAATTGTCGAAATCGTAGAAGTACAGAGTAGAATGGTGGTTGCCAGGGTCTGGGGGGTGGGGGGAATGGGGAGATACTGGTCAAAAGGGCACAAAGTTTCAGTTATGCACGACGAAAAAGTTCTGGAGATCTAATTGCAGCCTGGTCACTATAGTTAACAACACTGCATCGTGTACTCGAAATTCGCTGAGAGGGTAGATCATAAGTGTTCTTGCCACACACACACACAGAAGGTAACTATGTGAAGTGATGGATGTGTTAGCCAGGTTGATTGTGGTAATCATTCCGCAAGTTATATGTATATCAAAATATCACACACCTTAGATATATACAATTTCTATTTGTCAATTATACCCCAATAAATCTGGAAAAAAAAGAATCTCCCTATTTTACAGATGGGAGAACTGAGCTCCAGGGGGGTCAGGGCTGGCCGGGGGCACACACTGGAGCTGGGATAAGAACTGAGGAAGGAGAAAATTCTTAGGAGAGCCCACCATTGGTGGTCACCGTCCCCCGGGGCAGGGACTGGCGCTATATGGTTCCACCATTTCCCTGGGGTCCAGGGAAGGGCCTGGCACAGAGTAGTAGGCCCTTAAAAGTATTACTGAATGAAAGGTCCTCTCATTGAATCTCCCTGCTACCTTGCTCGTTGTATTTTGATCCCTGTTTTTAAAATGAAGGAACTGAGGATCAGAGAGGAAGAATGACTCAGAGCCACACATGGCCCACTGGGCTGCAGAGCCCAGGTACCGTCCACTGGGGCTGGCCTCCTTCTGCTGGGCTGGAGATGACCAAGGAGGGTGGGGATGGGAGAGCAGGGAAACAGAAAGGGGAGAGGAGAGGGAAAAAAAGAGGAAGAGGAGGACTTCCCTGGCAGTCCAGTGGTGAAGACTCCATGCTTCTACAGCAGGGGGCACGGGTTCAATCCCCGGTCAGGGAACTAAGATCCTGCATGCTGTGGGCAGTGCAGACAAAGAAAAAAAAAAAAAGAGGAAGAGGAATGGGGGTTGCAGTGCAGACAAAGAAAAAGAAAAAAAAGAGGAAGAGGAATGGGGGCTGCAGGGGAGCGGAGGGGCAAGAGGCCCCTGGCTAAGAGTCCATTTTGGCCTCATGCTGTTGGAACCTCAGCCTCTCCCTCAAACCAGAACAGAATCTGACTGTCACTGATGGAAGGGGAAAGCACCTCCTCATTCAGCCCCTTCCTTCATCTTACAGATGAGGAAACTGAGGCCCAGTGGGAAATATCCCATGGCGGGTTGAAAATTCAAGTCTATTTACACTCAGATATGGCCCCGGTTCCACAATGTGCAAGTTTAGCTTTGGTGAGAAAATAGGGGCTGGGAGGGCCCGAATGATGCCGCCAGGGAAGGGAAGATTGGGGATGCGGGGATGGTATGAAAACTGAAACGTCACCAAAAGGACTGAACCTCAAAAAACAAACGGGATTTAGGTCTGGTTCCAAAAAGAATGAGTTAAACCTGCAGGGCCACTGAGGAAGGCTGCAAAGTTCCTTCTCTGCGAGCAGCATCTAGCTGAGGCAGCCCAGAGATGAACAAGCACCGGAACGTTTCTTCTTCCATCCAGCCCTGAGGATGACTGAACTGGAGGGGTCTTTTCCATCATCAGAAAGCCTGGGAGCAAGCTGGGGGTGAGGGGCCGAGGAGGCAGGGGCCATACATTCACCTCAGGACAGGAAGCAGCGTCAGCAAAGTGACTGGCGGAGGTGGAGGTGGGAAATGGAGGGAGAGAATCCGCAGAGCGGGGAGCTCTTCATTTTCACCATGGTGAACCCCACCCCTGCGTCCTTAGGGAAGGGCCTCAAAACCCAGGCCTGTGGGAGTAGGGCCCGGGCTCATCCCTCCCACTCCCCAGCCCCCTTCATCACCCAGATCAGAAGGGTCATGCCCAGGAGAATCCATTTCAGCCCACCGGAACCAAGGTTCTCTGAGCCCAGACCCAGGGCTTGTGCCTGGGAAAAGGATTATCACCTCTGACCTCAGTCCGGTCCAGATTCGTCCTCCTCACCAACAACCACCCTGCTGACCCTAGGCCCTGGACCCCCCACATCCAGCATTACCAAGTGAAGTCTGTCCAAATGGCACGAGGTGGTATCACCCAATGACATCATTTCGAGGCCTGATGAGCTTAAAAAACAGTGAAAGGAGGGTCTGAGAGCCCAGGAAAGATGCCATTGGCTCTGAGGCTCATCTCTGAGAAAAGAAGGGGAGTGGAAGGGAGGCCCTTCTTCTGTTTTCTCTGCCCAATCCTTAGCACCCCCAAGCAGAGGGCCAGAGGACCCTCCTTCTTTGCCCCAGGCCCTGGTGGTTGTATAATTCCACAGGCTATTGGTGTTACATAACCCTACTAGGCCAGCCAGTCTCTGCCCCAGCCCCTCCCCTACACTTCAGGCCTAAAACAGGAATAAAAAGAGAAGATGTTTTATCCGATCCCATTCAGTCCTATGTCTGGGCAAAGCGAAAACAAAAATTAGAACATCCTGAAGCAGGGTTGCCATAGGAACCCCCCAACCACAGGGGCTGTATCCAGATATGGAATAATGACAGGGAGTTTGGGGGGGGGGGGGGGGGTTCTGTGGAGGGTGTAAAAGATGAATATATGGTTGGGGTTGGGATTGGACAGAGTGGGGGTGCCCTATAGGGACTGCCCCCCAGGGCTCACCCTGGGGATGCGTGCACACACACACACACACACACACCAGACGCCTAAGCTGACTCCTTAAGGCGACATGGGCGTCTGTGAAGGCTCCTGTGATGCCAAAGCAATTGATGGAATGTAGATGGGAGGAGAGGTGAGCCTGGTGGGCAGGAAGAGGCCACAACCCATTCCTTGAAACAGGCCTTGTGGGCCTCTGACTTCGGCAAGGACCACGCAGGACCTTCGCATAAGAGCCGAGGGAGGATGCTTACAGTGGTCCTGAGAGTTTGCTTAGGATGACAGGGAGATGGGGGAACCAGAGGATGAAGGATGATGCAGGTGGGGGAGATGCCGATACCTTTCCCTGTGTCATGGTGCCGTCTCTCCGGGAAGGGGTCCCTGAGGCACGGGCGGCCGCTTGGGTCACCGCAGCCTGCCTGCGTCTCTTCCTTCCTCCGCGTGGGTTCTAGCAACATCCACTGCAGCCGGGCCAGGAGGACCGGAGCGTACCATCCAGACGCGGGGAGGGGGGCGGGAGATGGGGGGAGGGGGGGGCCAGGGCGGGCCTGTAGGCTGCGGCGGAGGCCTCTGCGGATTTGCAAGCGGAAGTGGAGGAGGCGGCGCACAGCCCTTTCCTCCCGCCCCCTCCTTCCTGGTATCCTCACCGCTCAGGAACCAGGCAGCTCTGCGCTGCGGAACTGCCCAAGTGGACGGGTCCAAGCGGGCGGGAGGAGGGGCCGGGAGTCCGTGACACCCGACCAGCTGATGCTGCCTGCCTGTAACTGGAGCTGGGTGTCAGGGCCGTATCTCTCCACCATCTTTGCCGCTGACAGGCTCCGTTGTACCTCTGCCTGTTTCCTCTCCCTCTTTGGATGCGGCCCTGCTTTCTCCATCACCACCTCCCCTCTCATCATCTCTATTTCGTCCTTCACGCTGGAGTGGGAAAAGTCTCCGATGTCTTGTCTACCCTACCGGCTTCCAAAAGGCCCCCTGGGCCCTGAGTTCCTGTGGGCCTTTGGGCAAGCCATGTGGGCACCTCTCCTTGCCTCCCTTTTCTCACCTGTGAAATGGGAGCAAGAGGCCCCTCCCTACCTTGTCACAGAGACATGGGGCTGGGAGGATGCAGCTTGTATTTTTTTCAACCCTGCTGGCACATTTTACCAGATCTTTCTGGAGAGGCCTCTAGGTCTGTCTCAAAACCTCTCCAACCCCCTGCACTGCTCCCTTTTTGCCTCCATTCTCAGCCTCCACCACCCCTGTATCTGTCATCCTCCCCATTCCAGAGCCTGTCCCACCCCCTTTCCCAGTCTTATCCTTGGGACTCGGCCATCACCGGGCCTTGTTTTCTGCAGTTGCTGCAGTGTTGCCGTGGGATTTGCAATTTCAAGAGCTGGGCTCGAGTCCCAACTTAGTCACCCACTGGCCGTGTGACTTTGACAAAGCCTTAACCTCTCTGAGCTGCCGCGTCTCCTATGGAAAGGAGGATAACAGCGGAGCTCTGTCCATCCTAGATTTACTGTGAGACACAGGGGTTATGATGGTGGAAGCACACTGAAGACCACAAAGGGTTGTGAGTATTTGAGTTATTATTATTTGAGGAATCTCCTGGAGCTGCCCCAGGGTGAGGACACAGAGATCTACCTAAAAGAAGGATCTGATCCTTGTAGGATGGGATGAGAAACCAAGATCTGGTGCAGGTGGGGGTGGCCCCCTACCTTCTGCTTCCCTGTCATCTCCCAGGTGGACCCACCTAATTGCCGGTGAGATAGCAGGGTTCTGGACCAGCAGGTAAATTGCTGAAGTCTTTTTATCACCTCTACTCACCTGGTATCTCCCACTCCATAACCACCAACTTCCAACACACTTGCTTAAACTTGGGCCTCCCTGGGCAGGTGCTCTGTCAGTCCCCACACACCCAAGCCCTTCCCCACCCCATCACTTTCCTCCCCAAGCCCTTCTCTTTGACCCCTTCCTCCCACAAGCTGCTCCCTGGCCCTGGCACTGCTGCTGAGGCTCTGCCCAGCATGCCAGGTTCTGGCCTTCCCCTCCCTCTCTGCATCTGTGTTCTGGAGCGTTTTCCTTCTCCTGCTTGGCAGCTCAAGTGCCATCTCCTCCAGGAAGCCTCCTTGGTCCCTAGTGTGGGTTAGATGCGCTCTTCTGTACTTTCATAGTGCCCTGACCTAGCACCTGTCACGTGGCACTGTGGAGTTTGTCTGTTTCCCCGTTAGACTCTAAGAGATCCTGTCTGTAGCAGTTTTTGTGTTGGCAGGACTGAGGACAGTGCCAGGCATGTGGAATGAATGAATCCTATTACTGTTCCCAGACGTGCAGTGTTACACAGAGCCTGAATTTATGTAGGCCTTGGCGTTTTCCTGTGTTTGTGACTCTTGCTTACTCCTCTCCCCATTCCCTCTGTTCCAGCCACGTGGGCTTCTTGGCTGTTCCTAGACTGGGCCAAGCATAGCTCAAGGCCTTTGCACTTGCTGGTCCTCTGCCTGAGATATCTACACGTCGCTGCATGGCTCACTCCCCCACTTACCTCACTGCTCTGCTCAGACTTCACCTTCTTGGGGGCGGGGGGGCCTTCCTGATCCTATACAACTACCAGTGCCACCAATGTAACCCCACCCAGCTCACCGGACAGTCCCTTTTTCCTGACTCAGCTTTATTTTTTTCCATGGCAATTGTCACCTCTGACATATAATTTTTTTTAACATCTTTATTGGAGTATAATTGCTTTACAATGGTGTGTTAGTTTCTGCTTTATAACAGACTGAATCACCTATACATATACATATATCCCCATATCTCCTCCCTCTTGCATCTCCCTCCCACCCTCCCTATCCCACCCGTCTAGGTGGTCACAAACCACCGAGCTGATCTCCCTGTGCTATGCAGCTGCTTCCCACTAGCTATCTATTTTACATTTAGTAGTGTATATATCTGCCATATAATTTTTGTTTAGTTTTTTGGTCTCTCTCTCTCTCTCTCGCCCCACCAACTATATGAGAGGATGCATTTTTGCACTACGCCCTTGGGTTAAAACGGTGCCTGGCATGGATGTAGTGGGCGCTTGGTAAATGTTTGGCTGAGCAAAGGGCAACATCATATACAATCCTTATATTCCTCAGACATTTTGACATTGTCAGTGCTATGATGTTTCTCAGATGTTGGACTCTATGACCTTGACATCACTCATATGTCCCGTTACGTGGTCTTGAGACAGCACCCAGATGTTGGAATGTCTGTCTATCACTTTGCTGGCCTCTGGAGGCAGTGAGGTCTGGTGATCAAGAGCACGGACTTAAGAGTCAGATAGCCTCAGTTCTGATTCCAGCTTCTCTACTTGAAGGCTGTATGACTCTGGACAAGTTAGTTCCCCTCTCAGAGCCTCAGTTTCCTCATTTATAAAACGGGGGATAGTGATAATACTGACTTCACAAGGCTGCAGAGAGGTTTAAATGGTAATGTATGTGAAGGGCTTCACACAGTGACCAGCACATAATAAGCTCTCAGCGTAAGTGAGCTATTAGCCTTAGGGGTTCCACAAATGTTGTTTAATGAAATAATTAATTTCCACCCTCATAAAGCAGCTTGGCTCCACTGTTATTCATTCGTCACGTGTGTCGTGCCTATCTCTGTGCGACACACTGTGGTAGATGCTCTGGTGGTTCAAAGAGGAATCAGACCTGCAGACTTTCCTCAGGGAAGAACGATTCATCACACATTCAGAACTCACCCCCGTGCAGTGCCGGGGTCGGAACCGGTGGCGTCAGGGAGGTTAGAAGACAGGGTGCCTGAGGGGAGCCAGGAACAGTGAGGGACTCCCCAGGCGAGTTGGGAGCTTGTTGGGGTCACATCCTTGAATCCTTAGCCCAGGGAATGGGCTTTATTCTTAGCATGAAGTAGGGAAATGGGGCTGGGGGAGAAGGGGCCGGTTCCAAGGTTTTTTGAGCAGGGCATGCTCCAGAAAGACCACACTGCTGGAGTCATTTTTGTCATTAAAGCATTTTCTTTTTTTTTTTTTTTTGCGGTACGCGGGCCTCTCACTGTTGTGGCCTCTCCCGTTGCAGAGCACAGGCTCTGGACGCGCAGGCTCAGCGGCCATGGCTCACGGGCCCAGCCGCTCCGCGGCATGTGGGATCTTCCCGGACCGGGGCACGAACCCGTGTCCCCTGCATCGGCAGGCGGACTCTCAACCACTGCGCCACCAGGGAAGCCCTAAAGCATTTTCTTAATCGAGAAGGGCAGAAGGATGCGTCTGTGAGCAACACGTGGGAGGGACTGAATGAGGAGGAGACTGGAGGTGCAGCGACAAGCAAGGAGACTTCGGGAGAGGTCCCGTGAGGGGTGCTCAGAGCCCAGACTTGAGAGCAGGCTGCCTGGGCTCAAGTCCAGCCGCTGGGTAAAATGCTTCACTTCTCTGTGCCTCAGTTTCCTCTTCTGTGAAACGAAACTTATGCGTTAGTATTGGTAAAGCACTCAGAACAGGACTAGGCATATAACAAGTGCTCCATATGTGTTTGGTGATTTTAAAGTAGACAAACAATCCAGGGGCAGAAAAGATGGAGAGAGGCAATCGGCTTGGGGCAGGATTGACAGGACTTGAGAAGAGGCTGGACATAGATAAGGGGTGAAGGGACACCAGAAGAGATGGGGGCTTGGGGGCTGAGTCTCTGGGCGAATGGTGCCGTTATGAGAAGGGAGGAAGGTGCTGATGTGCTCAGATGGGGTCAGGTTGAGTTTGTGGTGCCCGTGTGACATCCAGGTGGAGAAGCCCCGTAGGCAGTCGGCCAGAGGTCCAGGCAGGGCCTTACACAGCTCAGGGGGCAGCATGCACTGGATTCTAGGGGAACACCACTGCCCCTTCTGCCCAGGAGCCCAGCCCTGGGGCCTCACGGAGTCGAGCAATGTGGGTGCCGGGGACTGAGAGGCCACGGGCCAGTATTAGAATGTGGGCAGTGGCTGAATCACAGAGTATGTGAGGACATCCCTGGAGAGCGAGGCCAAGGAGGGAAGGGGGGTCGAGCCGGCCTGGAGCAGCACCTGGGGGATGGGGGAGATGGAAGGAAGTTCTTTCCTGCCTCCAGAATCCCCATCACCGTCTTCAACCACCAAGCTGAGGTGGGAGTGGAGAGATTCGGAGACCATGCCTGAGTGTCTTCAGGGCTGCTCCTCGGGCAGGGGAGCATGTGGGCTCCAGCTCACACTGTGGCGGCCCATCCCGATCTTTGTTCTGCTGTGATTGCCAGCTAGCTCCTTTTGGGGCAGGTGCCAGGGGAGGAAGCCGATGGTGTGGACAGAGGCATTGCTTCTCATTTTACAGCCGTAGAAGCAAAAGGCTAAAGAGGGTGAGTGACTAACCCAAAGTTACATGACATGTTGGGGGCCAAGCCAAGGTAAGAGGAATGAACGTACCCCAGCAGGGGACCATCAGCCCAAGAGTGATTCAGTGGCAGCACTTAGACTGCGTGAAGGGGAGGAGTTGGGCGTTCCCAGGCTT